CGCAGCTTCAGCGTATATTTATAGTGTAGGGGGCAGGCGCTTCGGCTTCTAGAGAGCGTTTGATTGGTCAGAAGATTTGATGAGAAGATGAAGTATGATGTGACGTCAAAAAAATCGTTGAGCCGTTTTGGCGGAAGTGACGAACTAAAAGCTTTGAATGCTTGTATCTTCTAAATGCAAATTTTGTCACTGTTTTAGAGCACACTGCCTTATAGATAACCTTAAGACTAACATATTGATATTAACACCCAAAAAACTTTAATTTTGATTTTATGGGGACTTTACATAGACTGTATAAAAACATGGACGTAGTGTCCGTGACGTCACCCGTAGGGTTCCGAAGATAGTTTTTGAAGCTCAAAAGTGGGCGGAGGCGGCCGGTGCCATCTTGGCAGCGCGTCACCGCGCGTCACTCCCGGATAATCGAAGATGGGCAAAGAGGCGGGAGCTGGTTGTTGAAACCACGCCCACCTAGCTCGATGGTGGTGACAGCAGCGGCAATCCACCTGTCACTCAAGTGGCCACGCCCTTAATTATGCAGAACTTTAAGGCTTAATATAATTTAAACGGATGAGTTATAAAAAAAATTCACCCCCCTCACAAAATTAGCTATATAGACCAAAATCATTTTTTGAACCAGGCTGTAAACATGTTTTTTTCTGCTGTAAAGTTTTTTTTGCAGCCAGCCTCTAGCGGCCAGTTGACGAATTACAGTTTAAGTCACTTCCTTGTTGGCTTCACGAGAGAGAGCGGGAGGTTGCCGCTCGGGACTTTAAAGTTGCCAATATATTAATAGTACATCAAGCTTTTTTTTTTTTTTTCATTTCAGAAAAGTCTATTCACTGCAGTACAATAAAATGGCTAGTTCAGAAATAACATGTACATTTTCATGTCTTAAGAAAAAATTATTACCATTTTGCTTATCCAAGGCTTCAGATGTCAACTGCTTTGTTATTTTAGTTTAGTTCAAAAACAGTCTGTTATTCTTGATGTTGCAAACTGGTATTTACCTCTAATTTTAATTTGTTATCATAATCATAAACTGGTTTGTAACTCAAATAGTTTTACCATTTACTGCAGTTTGCTATTCTTCTATTTATTTACAGTACTTCTTGAAAAATAAAATGGGTTGCAGTTCAATTGTTTCACTGTGCCAGTATCCTTTTTTGCAGCAAAATAGACCATTTAATTGAGAAGGAGTCATTTTTTACATTTTTGTTTCAATAAATGCTCTTTTTGGACTATTTAGAAAGTTTTAAGTGAAAAAG